GTACAAATAGGATAGGCGGGAGCTGTATATGTCTAAGTGGTGGGAGAGAACACTGTGGCAAACGAAATCATGCTTTTCAGTTAAGAAACTTTTTAGTAATATTCACCACGTTGCTCTCCTTCTTTTCTCTCCCTCTCTCTCCCCCAAATATATATATATATATATGAAGAAATATAGTTTTAAAGTGTGCTATATTTATGGGATAAAGTGCTCAATATCAGAGATAGAGCGTATGTAAATATAAATATAAAAGTGAACATTGAAGTCAACACTCATAGGCGACAGGCTGTTTCATGCTAGACGCAATATATATATATATATATATATATATATATATATATATGGAAGACATAAATGATGTAGAAATTGTCGGAATGTTCTACATGTCCGAGCGGTTTCGGCTATCTTTTAGCCTTTACCAAGGAGGATTTTATTTTACTTTTAACTGAATATACGGATTTTTTTTTATGTATGTATCTAGAATTAGAGGAATGTTTTATTTTCTAAATACGGTCAGCACATTCTGGCCGTGTTCATAGTTGATTTTTTTTTTTTATAGATATATAGTTCTCCAATCCAACAAAAAGTATCTACTTAATTTCCTCCCTACAAGAAAAATAACAAAAACCAATTGTTATTGTTGGTGTATATACATTTCTTTAAAACGCGTTACCCCTACCTCACCTTTTCTGAGTGAGTCTCTTCGAGATCCCCCCCCCCGATTCCCACTATGTACCCCCTCCCTTCACTCTACCCACAAGTTCACTTATGTGTTTAAGGTGGGGGTTGTTAGTTTTATTCCCTGATCCTGACGCTTAAGAGCGGAGAGGAACCAGTAGAGTGAAAGAAAGGAGAAAAAAAAAGGACATAAAAAAAATAGTTTCATCAAGCAAGTGGTATATCATTAAAACAACAAAGTGTTTCAAGATGTAGAAAAACTTACCATCCACTTCTTTTTTTTTTTTTTAATCTCTCCACCCCTCCCCTTTGTTTCTCTTAGCACATGAAGTAGTTAACAACGATAGATTGGCCCTGGGGGTCACTGATCGTTGTTAGATACTGACGGTTTTGCTGAAAAGACCCTCGTTCGAGGATCACCTCCTGTTGCCATTCGAACCACCCCCAACACAGCCCCGACTTCTCCATACATACGAACCAAATCTTTGGGGTTAAAATGTTTCTTCCTGATAACACTCCAATTTGTCTTCTTTTTTTTCTTTTTCTGACGAATCGGCTGATTATGGAGATTTCCAAATCTCGAACTCAAGTCCGCCATCCTTAGCTATAAGACCCCCGACTGCGCAAATTTCTCTCATACACGCACGTACACCCAATGCCCTAAGCCGATAGGATTTTATATTAGAATTTTTCCTTTTTCTTTCTATGTAACCGCAGGGATTTTCTCCTCATATATATTTTAATTTCCTTTTGTCTTTTTTTTTTTTTTTTTTCTTCTTGTCTGTCTTTTCATTTTTTTTTTTTTTTTTATGTGTGTGGAGATATGATCGCTTGTTTCTGAGAGGGAAATGGAGAATGTCCAGTTGGGGGCAAAAGCCATAAGAAACTTGTCTCATTTTAATAACTATTTTGCTTTCAAAGTGAATCAGAATCCGGAAAAAAACCACTTTCCCTTTACAAGCTACATTAAAAATCTTTATTATAATTCTACTTGCTCTCCTTTAGTTAGCACGTCCGTTACGACCTGCCAATATCTCATAACTAATGGACTCTTCCATTTTAATCTCGCGGAAAGAAAGAAAAGACATATTAAAGACGCTACTTAGTTTCAGTGAGAAAATCGAAGGAAGAATTGACGCCTTGTCAATACCTCTTAAATAATGGACTATTCAGTTTTGATCACGTGAAAATATGAAAAAGACTCATTAGAGACGCTACTTGGTTTCAGGGAGAAATTAAATGAAAGAAAGAAGGGAAGATAGACGAGGCGATAACACTCTCATGTGTTTAACGTTTGTTTCGGTGAAATGGAAAAAGTTGTCAATTTCAAATCTTTTAATTTGTACCCCCTTACTTCTTAAAATAACGACCAGCATTCATATTTTCATGATTGCTATTGCAATACTTTGTTAAAGCTATTAAGCTCAAATATTTAAGAATGCGATGGGGAAATTTCTACGGATATTTTTTGTGGAACTCATCATGAACTTACTCAATCATTAACTTAAGAATTAAGATACATCAGAAAATTCAAACGGGAAAATAATGAAGTTTCCACGGGTATTTCTAACGAAATAAAAATGGGAACATCGCCGTGGTGTAATGATTAGCAATCTTGTCTTGAGTTCAATGACCACACCACTGAACAGTGAGTTCGATCCTCACTGGGTGTTCCACACTTTCAGCTTTGTGCTACATCTTAACAACACTTAGAAAACCACCGAGCGTTGGTATCGCCCTGGGCGGTCTTTAAATATGCCGCCAATTTGAACAGCGTTCAAAAACTGGACAACATCTACAAAATATAAGGAAAGATTAAAATTACGGCTATTTATTTAGTTTTGGTTGCAAATATTGAAAATAAAAAAAAAGATTAAAATAATTAGGAAAAAATGATTTTCTTAAATAACAATTTTGGCAGCACTGGTCCACTAATAAAAAAAATAGGACATTTTTTTTATAAATAATTTTAGTGGATTAGAATTTTTTTCGACCTTCAATAGACTGCGATATTTGTCAGAATCGAAAAATGTTTATTTCTTTATTGTTTTTCAAACTTTCTTACAGATTTTTTTTTCTTTTCTTAGTTTTCATAAAAGAAAAAAACTTTAAGAATGTGAGAAAAATGAATAAAAAAACTCATAAATCTTCCTTTTCCGTCTTATTCAATAAAATACACACAACACACAAAACATATATATATATATATATATATATATATATATATATATATATATATATATAACCAATTTGTGACTGTTAGGAATGATTTCAAAGAGGATCTTAATCCTGGGAGAGCTCACTGTAAGCTGCAGAGAATAAATTTAATAATAATAATAATAATGCTAATAAAGAAGAAGAAGAAGAAGAAGAAGAAGAAAACCTTAAAGATTAATTTCGGTTATAATGTATTTCGTGAATATCTCTATATATTCATCTCTTTAGATTAAAAAGATTTCGTTCTGAAGAGATGAATATATAGATATTCACGAAATAAATTATAACCGAAATGAAGGTTTTCTTCCTAATTATATATATATATATATATATATTAAAAAGAAGAGAGAAACCGCAAACGTTTTTGGTTGTAATGATGATTTTTAAAAAAATATATTATGCTTTATTTTCCATAATTTTGCTACCCGTGTTTCGGTTCTCGCGCGCTTCATCAGGCAAAGAGTGGATATTTCCGCATATTATTAAAAGGGATTAATTTTTCTTGTTTTTCGTTTGCGGTTTCTCTCTTTTTTTTTTTAATATACACACTTTTCTCTCCTTGGAACTACTATAACCTCTTCTATCTATCTATCTATCTATCTATCTATCTATATATATATATATATATATATATATATATATATATATATATATATAAAGATAAGGCTAAAATGACAACCAACCTATCTATACTGACCCAACTAGGCAGACGTTTACAGACTTACATATATACTCATTTTATAAACATATTTTGCACAGAAATACTCAGACATTATATATATATATATATATATATATATATATATATATATATATATATATATATATATATGGGGGAGCGATCCACCGAGCGGACCTTTAATGAATGAAGTTATTTGTATAACCTCCACTTGCATTTACATTGACTGAATTTTCTTAATTGGAAGTTTACTTAATTACTTGACATTTTTGTTCCTTTCTTTTCTTTTTTCTTTTTCTTTCTTTTCCAATGTTTTTTCTAACTTTTTTACTCTTTTTCTTTCTTCTTTCTTTCCCTTTTTCTTCCCCCCCCTCCTTCCTATCATTCGGGATTACCTTTTTAGCAAACAACGGCCAAACATTAAAATCTTTGAAAACTTCACGAAGAATATCTAAGCCATTATCTGTTTATTTAATCTTCAGTCACACCCGAATGAACCACTTTGCTTGGGTCTGTCTTATTCACACGCACGCACACACAGACACACACACACACAGACACACACACTTGTGTGTTCTTTCGCATTTACAAGTTTTGCTAATAAATGAGATCTTTTCTCTTTCTACTTGATCCCTCAAGTAAATCATTTGACCTGCTCTCATCTAAACAATGACAACATGTGTTGCATTGCCTGATTATTAAAGCTATTAATGAAGAAACTGACAAAAATATCCCTACATAAAAGTGACAAAGTTTCAGATAAAGGTTTCTTGTTCGAAAGTGATAGTATGCGTGTACGCGCATGCGCACATATATATATATATATATAAGAAAGGTATGTATGTGTGTGTGTGTGTGTTGGCCTGCCAACCCAAAATCAGTATAGGGTCATCTGAGATGCACTATTTCTTTTTGTTTTAGATATTTGTAAAAGTATATGCGGCGTTTCAATGAAAGTTTTTGTGCTAATATAAAAAAAAAAAAGAATGTCCGGCAAAGTCTTTTTTTCCTAACCTCGGGATCCATGTCAGCAACTAGTGGTAACGGCCATTTTCTATTTGTAGCAATTAAATATTTCATGACAAAGAAACCTTATTTCGTGCTATAAATATGATTTAATTAAGGCTATGTCACCTCATATTAATAGCCAAATTAATCCTGCAAATATTTTTTTTAATCGGAATTAGAAAGGCAGTGATGCTACTAAAACACAGAGGGTTACAGGGTGTGGAAGAATGAGGAACAAAAACATTAATGTTGAGCAGAAAGAGAGGCGAGTAATCAGGACGACAGTAGATAGCGATTGACATTGCATTTAATTTTTTGCAGATTAAAAATAGCTGAAACGCATGGAAACGGGAGGGATTTCCACAAGCTACATGAATGTTGACTCTTATCAAATTGTAAATCATTGATATTGCTGAAAATGTTTAATAAAATAGACGTATTATTACAGCAAACATCTATCTATCTATCTATTTCAGCCTCTTCCTTATCTATCTATCTCAATCTGTTCATATCTATTTATCTTCTTTTTTTTTTTCATTTTTTAATCGGAATCATAACAAGCAGTAATACCACTAAACCACAAGGGGTTACTGGGTGTGGAAAAATTAGGAACAGAAACATTAATGATGAGCACAAAGAGAAGAGAGTAATCAGGAGGACAGTAGATACCGATTGACATTGCATTTAAATTTTTGCAGATTAATGTTGGCTGGAAAGCATGGAGACTGGAGTGCCACAAGCAAGAATTGCAAGAGAAGAAACTGTTAACATAGAACTTACAGCTACATCTTGACAGCTCAAGAGTAAATTGATGAGAACTCAAAGCCAGTCTAGTACTGCGCAAAAACTCTAGGTACCATAGCGAAGAACTCATTCGAACAATTACCATTAAAGTATTTATAGAAAAGACACAGAGAGGCAACCTTAGGGCAGTGGGAAAGTGACTGGAGCCAAGCCACCAGACCAGGACCAATAATATTGCTGATTTTTCTTTGAAATTTATCAAGGAGCCCAAGGTAAATAGCAGGGGCACAGAGCCATATATGGCAGCAATATTATAAGCATGGACGAATGGTAGACTTATAGATATGTAAGATAGATTCTGGAGAGAAAAATTGTCTCGCCCGACACAGTGAACTGACTTTCTTAACAGCTGACCTAGCAATGGATTCAATATAATCTTTCCACTTCATATCAGCAGAGAACGTGAGTCCGAGATAGCACAATGGCTCACTTTCCAGGAGGACAGCATCAGCCATGCTGATGGAAGGCAGCAATGTTTCTCTCAGATGATTAATAGAGAGAAATTTAGTTTTGGAGGCGTTAAAATTAACATGCCGTCGTTTTCCCCAGTTAACTACGGACTTAAGCTCGATTTGGATATCGGCTGCCATTTTGACCTTGTCAAACTGATAAGCCTTACTATCGAGGCAGAAAAATACTATTATTATTGTTGCCCGATCAATGTTTTCCTTGGGCTTTATTTTGTTTTAATACCTACGATACATTTATAAGGCATAGATTCGCTGGTCATTTGAACATGAGTAGAAGTTTATCTCTTCTTTCTTGGTTAGGATTGAGTTTTCTGGTTCTTTGTAAAGTCTTTTAATTCACTTTCTCTCTCAATAGTCCTTTGCACCTTGGTGACATTATAGTATAGCCTGGTGTGGTACGAACTAAATAAAACTAAAAGTTAAAAGAAGCAGAGTATCATATACATTTTTCAAGAAATTCACAGGAAGTCACAATTCCAGATCGATTTCCATTACATCACAGCACCACTATAGAAAAAAAAATACACCAGTGTTAGATGTACATAAAAAAAAAATGTAAAAATATAAGTCATATATATATATGTCATTCTATCATTTCAAGAACCTCAAAACCTATTTACCAGCTGTCAAAATTCGTCAGTGATCATCACTCCGTATCTATGAATTATATAAGAACACAAGTAAATTTAAATAAAAAAGTTAACCGCCGTACTTTGTCAGTCGTTTTTAATGAAACATGTATACAAGAAGTATTGCAGCCCAAAAACACAATTATATATATATGTGTGTGTGTATATATATATATATATATATATAAGAGTAAAAGAGAAACAGAAATGCTTATGCAGATGTGCATATATATATATGTGTGTGTGTATATGTACGCGATATTTTGCCAATTCCCAGGAGAAATCGAGAATATCTCTTTATGTCACAATATTATACAAGACATTGGCGATCATGTCTCTCCCCAGATTTCTGTTAATTGCCCTGAGTTCTTGGGAGTGGTTTCCTTTCGTTTTCGCAATGATTTTGAATTCGGAATTAGCTTTCTTCCTGAGTGGGGCGGGGCTACATTTCAAAGCTGGGGGGTTCATCCAGTCTACCCTTCTCTTAAATCCATAGCTTTCATGTCTCTCCCAAAGGCCTTGCAACTGACGTGTCCGGAATTTGAACTCGGCTCGCTGGCTACACTTTCGTAGCCGATTTTCATTACGCTATCCGCACGTCTATTTTTCTATTAAAAAAGAAAGAAAAAAAAAAAAAAAAAAGCAAAACTCACGAGAAATTGTTTTCTTTTGTGGTGTTAATTTTTGTTTTGGGTATGTGAAAGGTTTAGTCAGATGGAAATACACTGGCACTGGGTAATTCATATTAATTAGACGAGGTTAATTTCCTTACAGCCGTTGGTTTCTTCTCTCTCTCTCTCTCACACACACATATATATATATATATATATATATATATATATATATATATATATATATATATATATATATATATATATATATATATATTGTCCTAAACCAAATGTTTATCGGCATTGTACCTAGACCTAACTAGGTATGAATTGGAGACCGGTTAGTTTGATTTATTGAACCGTAACAGCCAACCAATGTTTTGTCTTTACTCCTTTGAAAAGTCACAGCTGTGTGCTAAACACTGAAGCGAAATTTGGTCGAACCTGAACATGTTGATTGATAGCTGATGTGTGTCCAAGCATGTTCATTGAAATTCTGTAAATAGCTTCTTACCTGACAATGAACTCCGTATATCTCATTTGGTTTCAGTCCCTTTCATAATATTCAGTCTTGTACATTTTTTTAAAACCTTTCTCCTTTTCGTTATTACTATTATTTTAGCAACAATAAGATAATACTTTCAAGTTGACTTTTATTAAACCGTATCATTTGGGGGGGGGGTGCTTCTTAACCTTTTTATTTTATCTCTTTATTTTTGGAGGGAAGGTTACACACACGGTAGCAAAAGTTATTATCTTAGTTAATAAAGTAAGCATTTTGAATACTTCACTACAGCAGCCTAACCGGTCAAAAAAGACCCTCCTTGCGTCGTTACAGATGTATATCGGTTTGGGGCTATTTGATTTTGTGGCGATGTTAATATTGCAATCAGTTCTATTCTCGACACCAAACTGACCGCTCCCCCCCCCAACGTTCTTACATTATGGTAAATTTTGAAGTTCTGTAGCTGAAAAATAACATCAAATATTTCATTTTCTATTTTTGTTTACCTGTTTCACCCCAAACAGAGCAACAAAGCCGCAGGCGGGAGGTTACTGAGTATGAAAAAAAAAATATAAGAAAAAATACATTATTAACGCTCGAGAACATTAAAAATACAGAACTAAAGAGAACGATAAACACTGTATTTAAATTTTTGAAGATCAAAGTTGAATAAAAAGCAAGAAGCCGGAAGAGATTTCTACCAGTGAGAAGTGCAAAAAAAAAAAAAAAAAAACTCTTAGCATAGAATTTACGGTTATATCTTGCCATTTTAACTGTAAAATGATGAGAGCTTGACACCAATCTAGTGCTGCACTTAAATTCTTAAAGTACCTAGGTGCCATAGAGGAAAGTAACATATTCTTATTTACCATTCTTGCCACCATAATGCCTGAAAGTCTTTATGAAGTCCTAACTAGTCCCCATATGTACAATTTGTCTGGGTAGGAATAGAAATAACAACATTTAAAGATGAATCCTCAATAAATATTTACCATAGAGGAGAGTTCATCAGAGCAATTACCATGAAAATATCTGTAGAAAAGACACAGGGAAACTACATTACAGCGGTGGGGAAGTGACTGAAGTCGAGATGCCAGATCAGGACCAATAATAATGCAGATGCTTTGGATTTTATCAAGATCTCTCTCTCTCTCTCTCTCTCTATATATATATATATATATATATATATATATATATATATATATAACCTAGGAAAGGTTACTGAATGGAATAAGTGCACGAAGTTTGGTAATGAATGATAATACTTAGGACAAGAACAACACATATAAGATTCGCCAGCGGCGCGTAGAAGTCGTCATCTGCCAGAAGTGAGTCAAGTGAATTCCACAATGAATCTGCAGACCAACATACAGTATTTACTACTGTATTTATGTGAATGGGGACATATTATCGTACGTAGGTATGCTCATATATACGTAGGAGTTAACGGCCTTCCGCCCGCAGGTTTTGAATTCAGAGTTGACCAGTTGCTATCCAAGGTTATAGAACCCATTCAGTCCTGCTGAGGAAGAAAAAAAGGATTCATACTTTTCCCAAGAGTATTAACACGTAAATGAATGTAATGGATTCCACTGGAACTCGGCTCTCCGATTTCTCAATCCAAGCCGCAACCATTACTCCACCCTCTCTCTCTCTCTCTCTCTATATATATATATATATATATATATATATATATATATATATATATATATATATATATATATATATTATATATATATATATATATATATATATATATATATATATATATAAAAAGAGAGAGCCTTTTACGTATGTGAGTTGTTTATTTTTTTGTTTAACGGTATTTTTCTTTCTACAATAAGGTTCACGCACTTTACATTATTCGGACTATTGTCCTCATCTTTGTTGGCATATTTATCACAACGTTTCGGCCGTTGTACGCTCCGGCCTTCTCCAGGTGGTTTTTCATGAGCGTACAACGGCTCTGGTGCCACTCTAGGTAGATGGTTACGTTAAGAGGCAATTTGTGTGAATAGGTGAGGAAGATAACAGTTAACCCTAGACTTGAACTGGTTAAGATTGTAGTAATCGGGTTAACGTCCACTTGGGAGTCGGTTCCACATGGAAGTGGCACGCGAGAAGATAGATGTGAGTAGTAAGTTGTATAATTTAGTCAGATGTAAGTAATTTTATCATATTTGAGAGCGACTATGTTTTACGTTTGACTTTCCGAGGCGAAAAATGAAAGCGTTATTTGTTTCTTTCTTAAGTTCGTATATTTCTTCTCAAACTGTTTATTTCACACTTGAGAAAGAATCCCTAATTACGGGAAAACCCTTACCTTTGTTTAGCTTTGTTAATCTTGTACAAGACCAGTGAAAATCGAGCTCTCTAGTTTGTCACACTGACAACAACTGCCGATTTCTTGCAGTCAGCGTGTTTAGGTCGACTGGTTTACATGTGTCGGTATGGTAGGCTAAATAACAATGGATAGTACGCACTGTTCGCCAACAGTGGGTCGCGCCGGTGGAACGTGGGAAGTCGAGTGAGAGAGAGAGGAGGCTTGAAGCTGGGCCATTCGGTCTGGTAAAGGAAATAATAATAATAATAATAATGATAATAGCGAATAAAAGAACCTTGGCAATAACAAATATACTCAGTGACTGTTATATTTGTCTCTCTCTCTCTCTCTCTCTCCCCCCTTCCCCAAGTGTAAGCACCAGGTGCTAGTGTCGTTATTCTCTTTCCACCCGGGGTACGGGTGGGGGTTTGTAGAGAAGTGCTTGATCGGCAGAGACGAGTCGGTAGCAGAATGGGAAGGGCGAGATGTGAAAAAGAAAGGACAGATGTTAGATCAGTGGTTTCCCTATATTTTTGTTGGGTGGGGGGGATGCTACCCCTTTGACCCCCACGACACATCGTCAGCCCCTATCCATATACAGCGAACGTACAGATCCTTGGTATTAGGTCTACTGCAAATTTTATACAACCAAGTTTCCGGACATCCATACCTGGAGAACTTGGTTCTCAAAGACGTTGAAAAATGAGATGACCGCCTATTCCTGAGGCGGAAGATCTTTGACCCCCTTTGTAAGTGAATGTAAAAAAAAACTGGCCGTCGTGTTTGTTGTCCCAAGCTCTTTCGGCCACTTCTTTAGCCATTTTCAAAAGGTTTGTTGTTAATCATTGTTAATTTCTTTTCACGGAACCATAATGACCCCACCGACTCCCGAAGGTGAGGTACTGCCTGGGTGGATGGACCCCTGGGGGCTTGAGCATAATATTATTTTGAAACTGAGCTATGGTCAGAGAGATGTAACGTGAGTCCTCCAGATAGGCATGTCGTGGTGTGTCCAATATAATTATTCATGAATTTCGTTTGATCATAAACACAATTCCTTACGGGGCAAGTAAGTTCATAAATTATTTTAGTCCTCTATAGTTTGGATCTTACAGGTGAGTTGTGGTTGACAAATGGGGTTAGCTGTTTAAATTTTTTTTATAATAGATAATTTAATATTCCTTTTCTGGTCGACTGGAAATTTACATTTCTTTATAATGTTTCTGAAAAAAAAATATCCGGTTTAAAGTTAACTTCACCAGCAAAGCGCCTGGAAATGTGATAAAGTTCGTAGACAATTTTTAAACTTTCTTATTTATTTTTTAAATCATTTCACCCCAAGCAAGGCAATAAAGCCACTTCACCCCAAGCAAGGCAATACTTTGACTTGTATCGGTTTTCACCCCGGTCGGGTTGAACCGGCTTCCTCCCGAGCAAGTACAGTATCACGGACCATCGCTGCGAAACGTGGCCACTTAGAGCGGTTGACCAACGAAGGCTTGAAGTGTTCGACAACGATTGCCTTCGCTGCATTCTACGATGCCGCCGAATCGAACGTGTGCCCACAGCCACTCTACGTCGTCGCCTGAGTCTCCGTCCTCTTCCACCTGTCTTGCTCCAGCGTCGTCTCCGATGGTTCGGGCACGCAGCTCGACGCCCGGAGGGAGAGCTCATCCGCGATATACTTCTCCCGCCTTCTCTTCCTGGCTGGCGAAAACGCGTCGGTGGGCAGCTGAGGACGTGGGCTAGCAAGGCAAACACAGCTAATAAAACTAAGATTTGGTTACTGGAATCTGTTTCATTCCTTTGTGATACATGCAAACGTTTGAATTTTGAATCGCAAAAGAATAAATAAATAAAACCATGTTTTCTTGTATAACTTTGTAATTTAATTCTTTATCGAGTTGTTCCTCCTAATAAAATATTTGTAACTTAAATTTTGGTATAAAAAAAACCCCAAAATAAAACCTCCTGGTTTCTGATATTATCTTACCACCCCCTTTTTCTTCATCTTTCCTTTGGATCATTCCATCCACTACTTTGGCAACGACTGTGTTAGATGAACACCGTTATTAAAATCATTTTATATACTAAAGCTAGATGCACCCTAAGTTAACAGAAGAGTAATTTATGAATGATTTTTATATTTAAAAAAAAATTAAAAGTTAGAGACACCTAGCATATGACTTCCATGTCTAAGTGAAATCTTTGTTATTTGATATTTTAAACTGGATGCTAAATTCCTTAATCTTTAAGAAGATGGGGATAATCCTTTCCCTTTTGCCTTCCTCAAGGATTAGCCTGAGATGCTATCTGAAAGAAACTAGAAACAAGCAGACGCGGAAGTTTAATTACCTGGGAAGCGTCTTGACAGAGGACGGTAAGTGCGACACTGAGATCTGTAGACGTATTGGTATGGCCAAGGACACATTCCAAAAGCTGGGCATAGTACTGCGAGACAGGAGGATTTCTTTGGTAACAAAGAAAAGGGCCTGGAGAATCTGATATTCACGGGTCGAATAGAGGGAAAGAGAGACAAGGAAAAACAACGTGTGATATACCTAGCGGGCTTAAGCAAGTGGATGACAGAACGTGGTCTGGGGGAGGAAGCAGAGGGAAGGAACTCGTTGAGAGCTGCAAGGGATAGAAGGAGGTGGAGAGCCATGATCGCCTACGTCCTGAAAGGACATGGCACATAAAAAGAAAGAAGAAGAAATTTAAATCAGTGATTCTCGGTATCTCTAAAACAAATTGCAGCTTCTTCATAAAACTCTTTAAATGAAAGTTGAATCGCTACCCTTCTTTGTGGAATGCTAAACCAAAAATGTCTAATTTGTCCTTATTAAAAATGTAAAGGGCACTCTAGAGTTTTAACTATTCTCCAAGTGCACCCTGAAGTTAAAAAAAAAATGTTGCGAAATACCGAGTAAGGGTAAAAGAGCTCCAGGTTTAAAATACCTCCTGTAAGTGCTTGATAATTTTTAAATTACTTTTCACTCAATACAAGGCTCAAGAGACACTTAAGGTAGAGAGTTTACTAAACTAGATTGTTGCCCAAGAATCAAAGTAGCAGAGTCTGAAACATCATATCTGAGCAATAGGAACGCGTCAGTCACCGAGTGATGGCGATGATTTTTGGATTTTACAAGTAAAATGAAGCTGTGGGATTGCTAACTTTGTTCTAGAGAAAATTAAGATAAAAGTTTCGTTTTTTTTTTTTTTTTTTTTTTTTTTTTTTTTTGAAAATATCGCAGAAAAAGAAAAAAAAAGACAATGACATTAGAGTAGGGCTTCGTTTAAGTTCTAAATAGAGAGACTGTCAGTCCTTACATATTTTTTTGTATCAGAATGACGCTGTCATTGTTAGGGTCGAGGGAGTGGTCGTCTAGGACCTTTCACTTTTTTTTCCGCGGAAAAAACTGCTCAGCAGGGGAGAGGAAAAGAATAATGAGAGTGAAGAAGAAAAAAAAAACAGAAAAGAAAAGGGGCCCTCAATAAAAGCAGATGGGCGTAGAAAGGATCGTTTGGCGGGGACACAGAAAATTCCCGCCAATTTTTTAGCGCCTTTTTTCTTTTCTTTTCTTTTTTTTTTTTTTTTTTTTTTAAGGTGCGTGATTAAAACAACTGCAACAACAAAACGGTATTTTTTATTATTTTTTTTAGTAATAACAATCGCATCTTAATCTTTGTTCGGACAATTGAACACTTTCATTGTTTTGTTGATATTGTTGAATTACTACAACGTTTCGACCAGTCCATTCTACAGCCTTTTTCAGGCTGTGTATAATCCGTAAAGAAAGAGTAGATTACTTTTTTATATAGTGAAAAAGTTTAAAACAAAAATGAGAATACTTTCATTCATTATGGATTATACAAATGAAGAAGGCCATAGAATTAATCGGTCGAAGCATTTTAGCAACAACACGGAGTGTAGAATGTGAATGGATCCTATGAAAGTTATAGACAATAAACAGTAGCTTCATTTTACTTAATGGTTTCTGGACAATGCAATGTAATTACTGCTCAGATATAATGGCACTACATTGCTTTTATTCAAGGACTGATAAGAGAGCGAGCGAGCGTGCGTGTGTGTGTGTGTGTGTGTGTGTGTGTGTGGAAGCTTAAGAACAACAGACATATGTTTATAAAATTGACTAAATTCAACTGAACACAAATTGCATCACTACACTGTGCTGACATCATTACCATTTTTATGTGTCCAAGGTGGACACAGGTTCGAATCCTGCTGGAAAGCCAATATTTTTCTTTAATATTATTTCCCAAATATTCAGGCCGGTAGACGAAATTAAATGAATACAGTGTTTAATAAATAAACAGAGTGCCAGCCTCAAATATAGATATCCACTAAAAATAACGATTAAGTAATTATATATATATATATATATATAGAAATATACATAATATCTTACATTAATTTAACAACTCCGAGTTCATATACCTACCGACATTTAACCATTCGGTTATATATATATATATATATATATATATATATATATATATATATATATATATATATAGAGAGAGAGAGAGAGATGACGCGTTCGGCGGAGGCGGGGCGTATTCGACATTTGACAATTTTGCGGCAATACACGCTTAAAGGTTTTAGGCGTTTTGATCAACATTTCTTTTCATGGTTAGCCGTAAGGAATTGTAAATGTAGGACTACCTTACGCTTAAGTAAAATAATAACAATAATAATATTTATTTATTTAGAATTTATTACAAAAAATATCAAGTTTTACGGAAACGTTGACAATTATGTATTTAGTTACATAAATAAATAATATAAATTTTGATGCTATATTCGATTTGTTGTTAGGTATTTTTCATTTTCTCTTTTTGTTATTGGCAGTATTTTAGAATACTTTGGCTGCAATGCTAAGTTTCCGAAGTTGAACAAACTGGAGCTATTTCGGTTATGCTTTGTTACCTCTCTTTTCCATTGTTATTTTTTTTCCACGTATTTTTGTCACTTTCTTCCAGTCATTTTGATAGGCAATAGTGAAATTCTGAAATTTACAATGATCTTATTCCATTTCAAAAATAAAGCTTGTAAAAAAGAATATTTTAAATTATTATACGACCAAAAATAAAATGCTTTTGACAAAAAGCAAAAAACAAAAAAAAAAACTTAATGATTTCACTATAATCATGTAACAATAATGTAAGAATGATATTCTGCAGACAAATCTACGATTTATTTTATCTCATTGCATAGTTACAAAATATACAGCTAAATTGTGCTTGAAATATTTTTTGTAAAATACTTGGATATGATATAATGAATAATTTGTAGTGAAAAAAGCAATTTTCGATTTTTTGTTGAATACGCCCCTCCTCCGCCGGACGCGCCATATAAAATATGAAATTTTATTATTATTATTATTATTATTATTATTAGTAGTAGTAGTAGTTTTTGTTGTTGTTTTCAGTAATTACCAGCCAATAATGAAAAAAAAACCACAAAAAAATCAGCTTTTCAATTTACCTGCAGTATCTGTTTTTTCGTAAAAGAACAGAGAATTTTTACACACACGCATAATATATAAGTGTACTATCATCATGATGACCGGATGTGGTCGTAGGGTCGCTGCACACCTGAGCACGTGACTCATATATGTCTCGGTTGCGATCCAATGTCTGTGGAGGATCTTCCTGTCCACTCAGTGACGTTGGTCTTGTCTGTAAGTCTCTTGTGGGACGAAATTGTCATTCATATATATATATAGTTTTAAGGGATGCTATATCAGGGATATAGCATATGTACATATAAAAGTGGACGTTGAGATCAACACCCAATGACGACAGTCTGTTTCATGCATAAACGCAATCATCATTACATTCATTTACATGCCCATACTCTTCCCTTCCCCCCAGCTATGGGTAAATAGTAGGACAGACTGGGTTCTATAGCCTTGGATGGCATATGACACAGAAGAAGGACAATTCTGATTTCAAAACCCGAGGGCCTCGTATACGGACCTAGGGCGTCCCACACCACGGTTTGTGGTCTTCGGCTGTCGATCAAGAGCTCGGAGAGGAGATGGGCGACGCCAAACTATCTGAAAGACGGTTCATGATGAAGAGGAATCAAAATCTTTTTTCTTCTGGCCTCGGGACACTTTCACCCCCCCTCCTACCCCGTGATTGAAGCAGTCGAGGTTTTGATGATGATACACCGGGAAATAAAAGACACACACACACGCACACACACACACCTACCTCATTTCTTATGTCTAAAGCATTTTAAGTTGTCTATGTGTACGAGAGTTGAATTTTTTCTGTTAATTTACCCCAAAATATTAAGAATTTATATTTATTAATAATTACACCAAATCCTTCCAGAGCAAGGCTTTTCTGTTGCACTCCGGTTGGGTTGACCTTTGCGATCACCCCAAATGTGGGTGGCTTAGGTGCGCTATTTCTAAATGTGGGGTCTGCGTTCGCACTCACGCCTATAAACAAGCTAAAACAATTTTTTTTTTTTAATTTGTAAAAAATATTTATAATTACCACGAAGGCAAGCTAAACAAATTTTGATTTAAATTTTTTTTTAATTTCAAATCAATGCCAAAAATTTAATTAAAAAACCCAAACAAACTTTGGCTAAAAATTTATAATTTCTTGGGGTGAATTAATATGTGATAAGAAACTCTACATCATTTGTAGTTAATTAATAGAAAAGATCTTGAGATTTTCATTTACTTCATGCAAATGAAATGTTCTACCATCAATGGACATGGGAATGTTCTCTTTTTTTTTTTTTTTTTTTGAATAAGACAGGTTTTCATGATAAGCGAATAAATTTTCATTTTTTTTTTTTCAGTTTCCTTTTGTTCTCGTTTTTGTCCATAAATAATTTACCATTCATACTAAACAATTTTATATCTTGGCATGGGTGGTAATAATAAAATTATGTGGGCTAGTGATTCATTCCTTAGCTGTCAGGGAATAAAACATTAGGCGACTGTTTAAACTTTTCTATGGCTTCTTTGTATATAGAGAGAGTAATGCGTTTGTCATCATAAATTTTTATTATTATTATTATAGATTTATTTTAACTATAAAGATATAGGAAAGTTCCTGGAATAGGATTTCCTTGGAAACTTCCATAACTAATTATAATTTTATATAGATTATATATTTTTATAGTTTCTTCTTTTTGACTTCTCCCTTGTGGAACTCTCTCTCTCTCTCTCTCTCTCTCTCTCTCTCTCTCTTCAAATATTTAAATGCAATGTCAATCGTTAATTATTATTCTTTTATGGTTCTCTTTCCTTAATAATGTTTTTTTCTTCTCATATTCTCCCCCACCCAGTAACCGAATCTTAGTGACTTTATTGCCTTGCTTGGTGTGAAATAATTTAAAAAATAAATAAGAAAGTTTAAAGGTTGTTCACGAAATTTACAACATTTCACGGTGTCTTCTTGGTGACGTTAACTATAAACCAGATCAATTTTCCTTTAGAAATATTGTAAAGAAACACACAACCCCAGTCGACCAGAAAAAGAAAATTAATTATCTATTATAAAAAAATAAAATAAAATAGCAAACCTCATCATCAACAACAACAACTCACCTGCAAGATCCAAATTACAGAGAACCATTATTTATGAATTTACATTCCCCTTGAGGAACTGCATACCAGATCAAACCAAATTTATGAATAATTATATTGGACATACCACTACATGCCTATCAGGAAGACTCACGTTACATCTCTCTGATTATAGCGCAGTTTCAAAATAATATTAAGCTCAAGCCCTAGGGGCCTATCCACCCAGATAGTACCTCTCCTTCGGGAGGGGGCGGGGTAATTGTTGTTCCGTGAAAAGAAATTAAGAACAAATCCCTTAAAAATTTAAAAATACCAGAAAAAATTCCAATATATATATATATATATATATATATAGACATTACGATTGGAATTAAGATAGCTTTAGTAAATGACCATTTTCACCAACGAATTTTGATTTTAAAATTTGCAGATTTTTCAAACTGTATCCCATAAACGGTTTGAAAAAAAAACCCTGCGAATTTAAAAATTCGTAGGTGAAAATGGTCATTTACTAAAGCTATCTTAATTTTAATTCTAAATAAATTTTTTCTGTTTAATGAAAGTAAACACTGAGCGCTCATTTGTGAGTCAGTTTTAGCATATTTCAAATTCTATGTTTTGTTAATAGGACTCAACTGGATTATACCAACTGATTACTACCTACCCTCTCTCTCTCTCTCTCTCTCTCTCTCTATATATATATATATATATATATATATATATATATATAAGAAAGAACAGTAACATTTATAAACCGGTGTTCTTATTTAAAAAAAATAGTGCTCGGTACAAACAGTAGAGCAAAATATTATAATTATTTTCTTTTTAAAAAATATGATTCCATGGCGACACAGGAATTTTCTGTTTCCAAATTGAAACTAAATTTATAAATTTAGTTATAAAAATTAAACTTAAAATCCATAGTTCCGTTCCATTGTCCAGCGTTGTTAGTAATAAACTTTCTAAGAAATTTGCTTAATTTATAAGTGCTGACAATATAAATATTATGAGTTGTTATGGTTTGTAAATTTCAATCTTTTTTTAATTATATGTGTGTGTGCGTGATATAACACTTACGTGCACATACATATATATGTATATATATATATTTATATATATATACACACGTGTGTGTGTTATATATGCGTATATATATGCATGTATGT